CAAAACCTCCCAACTCTGCTGCTCTGCAAAACCTCCCAACTGTGCTGCTCCACAAAACCTCCCAACTTTGCCACTCTACAAAACCAGCGGGGATGTTAATGGTACACATCATAGGTATATACACCCCACACGTGCCCCACACCAAACACCAAACACCGTAACCAATGTGACAAATGGCCCTCTGTCGCTCGGTTTGAAGTCACAAGGGTTTTTAAACAAAATTGGGAAAAGTAATTTCAGAAGTTCTTCTGGTCAAAATGAAAAGGGTTTCCATACAGGTTAGCACTGTAGTTTTTCATTTATGCAACAGGAAAGAGTTTTCAGATGCTAAGGTGTATAATAATCATCTATTTCAGTGACAAATACAACACTGATACATTCCTTGTCAAGAAACGGGTGCAAAAAAGTAGAACATCCAAGTTCTCCATTTACTCTGTCAACATTGTCCAAGTATTATATGTACAAATCTATAAATAGTTTYAGCATGATAACTTCTAGAGTACCCCCAAATGTTAAGGAACATTYAYGCCACWGATTYTKGAAAGATTAGTGACTTCCTCTRATCTTAGGTATCTACAGAATGAAGAGAGGCAAACAATTTCAACATGCAAGAGATCTGTAAGAATGTTCAGTCTCCTCAGTGAATACACCTCAAAACTATCCAAGTTCATTTTGTCTTTCCATTTCTCCTACTATCAGGAGTGCCATATTTGAACCAAACCATCACAGTTTCATTAAATTTCCACTCTGTTTGACAGATTCCCCTTCATTCACCTCATCTACTGTTCACTTTCTCAGCTGAACAAAAGGGAGATGAGAAACACATTTTTGTTATTTCCCCATAAGTTAGCAGATGCTTGGTTGTGCAATATCTCCTACTAAGTTCAAAATATTCTTAAGCACTTCCCACCACTGTCCAAGATCTTCAATTCGTTTACTGGATTTCCAAAACAAAGGAATCAGACAGATCCAGAAAGCCTCTTATCAACGTGTATCCCACAATGACCCAGCATTTATCTGGCTACTTTGTATTTTATGCAATTACAAGTTTCTTAAGATCTCCAGTGTGACAAAATGAAACTGAAATAATAGACTTCCAAAATTAAGCAAATAATTCTTTAATAAGTAAATYATTTGATTTTCTTTTGCTCCTCCTCATTGGAACACAAGCACAAGAAAAGGAGATGCTCAGCAAGACAAAATGTAACAGAAAGATCTATTACCTTGTATTTAAGATTTCACCAACGATTTCTTGCAGCTTGTCAATAAAATTAACSAAGTTGGAAAGCCCTTTGACGTGGGCTCTTAAAGGATCATACAAAGGAGATGCACAGTCTCTTCCTCCAAGTTCTATGGTCCGGATAAAAGATGTTGCCATCTATCAGGAGAAACATTCAGAAATATCAAACTGTAGAAATATGTGAAGTGAGCCTCTCCTACAGGTCTGCAAACTGTGAAACAACTGGCTGACAGCAGAAATAACTTACCTGCAATCCATACAATGCCTCTGAATTGCAAACTTTGTACATCTCACCATCAACATTTGTAAGATTAATACTTAAATAGTACAGTAGGATTAAAAAAAGGAAAACAAGCCAAAGTAAAAATGACCCAGCTAATTTGGTATTTCCATCAACCTTTTGAAAGCTCAGGACAAAAGCTTACTARAACAGGGTACAGAACTCTTTTATTGTTGTGGCTGTTCAAATGCTCCTGCAGGCCTCACAAAAAATACTCCCCTTCTATTCAGAGGGTTGTGTAAGACCTAAGGACAATTTTAACATAAGCATAGAAAAGTTGACCTCAGCATTATTACAATTTTCAGAGATGCTAATAATGTATACTCAAATCTTATGATTATATTATCTTATATTCATGTTGAAGACAGCAAGCCTTTCCAGGATTTCAGTCACTCTTTAGGACGAACAGTCTCAATGCCTTTTTTCCAAGAGCCCATTTAAGAACYCTCAGGATACACACACAGATTATCTCTCATCCTGAGATTTCATGGCCAAATAAGCACCATTTCTTCCCATAGAACCTATTGTCTTTCTAGCTAGAAAATGACGTCCATGTTGGTATTTGGCTTGGCTTGCAAACACCAGCGTTGAAATCCTATCAGATGAAAGCCACATTCTCTGTTTACAGATCTACTCCATTGACTCTGACCTCCAGGAGCTTTCATTTGACACACATACCAGGAAAATGGACATTTTCTTCTCCTGTGAGGCATGTTTCAGGCTAGTGAAGGCTTCTCTACCAAGTCCTCTGTCAGGAACATTTAGAATATGAGCCAATGCCAGATCATCCTTAGAATTCACCAAAAGSCTTAAATAAGAACAGACAGCCTTCTTTGCCAGGGTTGTCACCTGCATGAGAAAACATCATACAAATAAAACATCCTGCTGCTAAATTATGTTCCATTTTATTTTAAAGATAATTAGACACGTACTGATGTGATTTTTGGAAGAGTAAGAATTCACCTTTCATCATTTCAAAATGCATGAGGATTCTGGAAGTCTTGACGAAAACAAACACGATAAATAAGTTAGAATTGCATGTACAGAACTTGAATATTCACAAGGTGTTTGAGGGTGGATCTCCAGTTATTAAAACTGGCTATAAATTTATATTTATATCTCACAGATATCCATCTCAAGGCAAATATTTGCTTTGCCACAGCTACCACTACTGTTCAGATTTCTTCCATAGGTAAGGGAGTACAAGCTAATAAAATTAAATCAATGGAGATTAATTCATTTATCTAAGACTTAGTTAAGACAATGTATGAGCGACAGAAGAATTTATTCCCTGTGCTTCAATGCAGATGAAGTCTACATCAAGTGCCTGCTGTTCTGAACTSTCCTCCAGAATATAAATTTCAGCACATAGCCCCAAACACACTACAATAYACTCAAGAGATGCACAGTTTGAATACACAGATTCTATTTTTTTTAACCCAGACATATTTGAAAAACAATAACTGAAAAATTGAACTATGTTACATTTCATCTTTTCAATATTTTTACCTTCATATGCTCCTTGCCCTGTCTGTTGACGTGTGTAGGAGTAGAAAGAGCAGAGCCATTATTTTCTTGTGCATTCATYATACCAGAAATAAATTCCAAAAGTTGGACCTTTAATCAAAAGATCAGAATTAACTTAACTATGAAGATGACTAGTAAGTRAAAATTTTAAATGTTTTAAAACCTGGTGTAAACCCACCTCTCTGCCACTTGGCTAGCATTTGAGGTTAGCACAGCCCTTGTAGTCTACTTTTGGTCTTAGTCTTTAAAAGAACGACTGTTCTAATAGAGAAATGAGGTATAAGATTCAAATTAATTAGAAATTATCTGAAATATTTACTTTATACACTGGCACTAAAAGCCACTCCTTACATTTTGGAGAACATTTAATATGTTATGCCAAGTTTAGGAAGAGTTCATTAACCCACCCTTCCCTGAGAGTTCCCCATCTTCCTGATGAAAAGAGAGAGGGAAAAACAAACATAATAAAAAACCCCAAACAAACAAAAGACCTGCAATAAGCTACCCCAGAACTGTGACTGAGTGGCTGAAATGGAACTTCAGGAAAAAAAAATCTAACACGCAAATACATATATTATACAGAAGTTTTTATTTAAAGAGCGTGGTGTTTTCAAAATCATTAAAAATATTTTGGCTCTACACCAACATACAACCAAAACTCCCTAGTATGTTAATTACTAAGCTTTGTTCCATTTTTATCTAATCTCTACAGTTTATTTTTCAGTTCAATCTAGGCCAAGGAGTGATTTATTCATAGAAGGGTTGTAAGAACTTAACTACACAGCAGTACAACAGAGAGAAATAATTTTTGAGTGAATTTAAGATCTCTTTAAAATATTTAGTTATTTAAACTCAAGTGTTTCCCCAATAGAAAAACAAAGTAACTTGTGGATAATCCAGAGCTCCTGTGTATAATTAGATCCTTACAAATCCATAACTGGAACCAAAAATATGCCAAAACAATGTAAGAGGTCAAACAAACATAATACTTACTGGGGATATGCTTTCATCTTCAGCTACAAGTCCAAGAATAGAGCATTTCTGGGATATGTCTATTAGATCTAACATATTGCTTCTTGCTAAGAAGGCATGATAGGCTTTTTTTACATCAGCATAATTTTCAGGTTCTTTCATGTTTTCATGTGATAATCCCAATTTGTCATGCAACAAATAGTTCCAAGTTTCCAACACATCACTRAGTGATACTGTGAAGTCTCCATGGTTCTAACAGAGGCAAAAAAAAAGTTTTATATTCAGCATAGCTTTAAAACTAAATTTAAAACTGCATATATATCTGAAAATTTATTATAATCTAAATTTAACAAAAACMTTCTTATTCATAGCTGAAGTTCTTCCACTGTGTTGTATTTACACTTGAATTTTGTTATATTCTGCCAGTATTTTTTTTCTGATCTTTAAAATACCAGGCTTGTACTCATGAGAAAATATGCTGAATATTGCAGGGCTCCTTCTTGCATTAAGTTCTTTATTTGCAGAAACAGTTTCAACATGGCAGGCATTTACTTCCCAAAGGCAGTAAATACAGTTCCCTTACCTTGCTTCAAGCAGTAAACTGGGAAAATATGTCAAAAAAAACCCCAAACTATTTTCTTCACATTAATACAGTTATTCTTTAGCATAACATTGATAGTGTTGTTATATAGTTCTAATAAATACATTAAAGCCATGTACACATCGGTTACTAATATTATAATTAGCATTAATTATAGAGTTTAGACTACACTCTGCCTGTCAAAACTAATAAATTATGTTCCACGTGCCCCTCTGGAGGAGAAGGCAGCTACTCGCTCTCACCACCTTCTCTTTCACAATTTGACTCCTCATTTTTGTCCATACCCTGCTTTTTAAACTGACTACCAGTCCTCACTTCCTGCTGATAAACKTTTGTTCACACTACTGGTATCTGAAACATTCCCCAATACATGGCAGAAAAAAAAATAAAAAAATAAAATAAAAAACCCACCAAGGCAGAGATGTACCATGTAACACAATCTGCACGCCCTCTGATCAAGGAACAAGCCTTGCTTTGCATTGCCCATAATGGCAGATGGCTCCTGTCCACAGCAAAGGCTTAATTCTAAATTCTATTTCATGACATTTTCATATTAAGCAAATTCATTGCTGATAAACACCTTTAGCAACTGAACACAACACTAAATAAAAACATGAGGAATTCTAATAATTTAAGTTGCTTCTGCCCACATGATTCCCTTCTTCGGGCTCTGCCATATTTAGCCCAACTTTSTCAATGGACCTGGTTAAATATCTGATTCCAAAATCCTGAAAGTCARCCAGTGYAGGCAAAGAACCAGGAGTGACAATTAAGGAACACTCACACATATTAGCTCCATGGTAATCTCTTGCCTTCTAATTTGTGCATGGATTATGATAGATCAGTACTATGAACTTATGTTATTCCACATATCACAGAATATTAAAATGGCATATGTGTTTCCTGAAAAACACCAGATTTTCATTTCAGCCCCTCAAAAAATTAAATATATATTATAACTCAATTTAAGCAGATCAAAGCAGCAGTAGATGAGAAAAAAAWTTTGTTTCCTCACTTTATTTTGAATCAAAATCCACCAGGAGTATAAAGTACAACTTCATAAGGTATCTAATAAATCAAAACCTTTCCTCACTAGATCAAGGGCCTGCAGAGATTAGCAAAGTTTATATTAGTGCTGCAAAAATATTTTAAATCCAAATAATATTGCATTCCAGATATTAACCTTTGCAATTAGGCATTCACTAAGGTGGCATATTCCATTACTTACACAGTCAATTTGTCAAGTCTCTGATTTCAAAACTCATTTAAAAAACAATGTGGTGTTTTGCAGTAAGCATTTGTTAACTGGCTAAAGTGCCCTGCTTTCATTCTATTACAGGCAGGGCAAGTGTGTGATTCCACATGAATAGAACCAATAAGGAATTATAAAGCATCTTTCCTTCCTGGYAGTGCAATATATTAACTTTCCTCGGGACTCTTACAATGCCTGAAATCCAATGTCARCATCTCATGCTTAAAGACACCGTGTTTTAGTATTTTGTAGCTATTGCAGGTTTTCTAGTCCTGACTACATAGCAAATCCATTTCTATTTTGACAGAAAATTGTTGCAAAAAACAGAAAGTTGCCCATTTCAGCATCAATACATTGGCTTCCACCTCCCCAAACTTTGGCTTTTTGGGATGTGTGTAAAGTCTGCTGTGTTTAACCACCAGCCCTRTGTTGATTTAGCTCTTTCCAGGCACACTCCCAGGCTGCAGTGTTGTTTTGTGGCTTTGTCCTTGAGCTGGACAATTCTGCACTGCTGTCACCTCCAGTCCTGCTCAGCCTCCAGTGCTTTCCTGCACTGTCCCACAGCAGAGGAGCTCCCAAACTGTGGCACAGAAAGCACACCAAGATAGGATGAAGCAGCACTTTTTAATAAGTTTTCATCATGTTGATAGTGCTGTGCAACACAACTATGAATGAGAAACTCATCCCTGTGACCACAAGTGCCTGGACATCTGAGAGCTGTTACACTGCAATGGGCAGAAGCAGTGCAGCTACACACAACACCCCAAGCTCAAAAATAAAATTCTATTACTTGGCATGGGTACTGAACACTTTCCTTTTTGGGTGGGTGAGTGGAGGTGCTGAGGGGAAAAGCACCAGGGCCCAACAGAGGAGAAGCATTCTCTGTTCAAGGAGGACCAGAGATGGATCTGTACAACAGGAGTTGCAAAAGCAGAATGATGGAATAGGCAAAGTATAAAYTGTACTTATCATCCAAACAACAAACCAGCACTTTCTCAAGTCAACACTATCAACTACAGGGGTAATAAAAACAAGATTGAAAATTCAGAACCCTGCTGGTTAGAAACAAACAAAACAAAACAAAAAAAAAACCAAAACAAAAAAAAAACTTCCTTGCTTCCTCTTCTACCCCTCAAAATGACATCTGCATAGAGAAGGGGTGGGAGGGAGAAAATCCTATTGATAAGCTAGGGAAGAATCCTCAAGAGTTAAGTATCAAGAGTTTTAACACAGTTAAAACAACTCCAGCTGTAAAGCAAAACAAAAATACATGAAACAATAATTTATAGTCACAACGTAACTATAAGGAAAGGGTATGGGAAAGCAGTTAAATTATTCAGAGGGAAAAAAAGGAAAAAGTAGAATAAACTAATTACCTCCAGAAGAAGAAGGCTTATTGTAAGGAAAACAAGGAGCAATGAGCCAAAACCTTTCATGTGTGTAAGTTTTGACATCCAACAGAACAAAACAGTTTMGTTCCCAGAGCTGGCTTGGGAAAATTGTTTGTAGTTTTCCTTTGAGAATCACAACAAACATCACAACAGTGATCGCCTCCACATTATTGCCTTATTGTCAAGGCATTATTGTCTTTTATCAGTTCTCCAAGAATTAATGTTGATGCACGCTAATTTTCTCATTTTACTTACATTTACCTGCAGATATTGTGCGGACACCAGGCCCCTGGCCAGAATCTATGACATTCTATGAAGTACAGATGTAATACCTTGGGATTCTCATATCCTTGCTGTAATGTTTCTGACACTGGAGAATGACTTCATCAGTTTTATAYTTAATCTTTAGACAACAGATACCTCCAGTCCGCAAATTTTAGACTACAACTTTTTTTTTGATGCACAAACTGAAGCAGGCTTTCTGTTTGTTCAGGTTTTTTATTGGCTTGGGGTTTACATTTTGATGTGGTTTCGTTGTTTCTGGTATGTTTGTTTATTTGGTATGTTTGTTTTGGTTTTCTTAAACTAAAACTTTGCACTACATGTTTGATTTACTATGCAACATTTGAGTAAGTCTTCCAACAAAGGTCTTTTCTTTCATCAAGTTCATTGCCCTAAGAAAGGTATCTTGAGGCTGTTAAAATGAAAATCCAACAGTTCTCTTTACATGAGATGCAGGTAAAGGCCTGACTGTGAATTGCAGCTGTTTCTGGTGTGTTCCAGACACCCTCCAGCTCTGCCAAGCCACCGAGCTCATTTCATAAACACTTCCTCCCCTTCACCACTTGTCAGGCACCTCTTGCACACCCACAAAGGAAACCACAGAATTCCTGTTGTCTGGGCACACATTCACAACTTCTATACACCTGAGGTCTTCACCTGAGGAGTGTCAGGAAGAGCAGCAGCCAAGAGTGAACTGGGACAGACCACACCAGATCAGTTTTATGCTTATGTTCTTCTCGTGCCATTCCAAAACATTTTCGGAGCACTCAGAACAAAAAGATGCACCAAATGCCATCGTTCTCCCACCCTGCTCTMCAGCACAAAAGAAACATTGAATGGAAGTAAACAAAGTTACACGATCCGCAGAAATACTCTAGCATCTGAAATTAGGAGCCCAAATACACATGCAGAGCATTTCCATCCTCACCTCTGTCCTGCAGTTCCTTTCTCTAAACCCTGATTTCAAGGCACACTTAATCATACTGATTTTAACTTAATCATACTGATTTTAACTTAATCATACTGATTTTAACTTAATCATACTGATTTCAGTGCCATGCTGCATCCAGCCCTCAGACACACCTTGTTTTAACAAGCAGCCAAACAGCATTTTAAGTTGGAATGCAGCGAGAGAACAAAGTCTGAGGTGTACCAAGAACACGATGAAAAGAATGCTAACCTGTTTATTGACCTCAGCCATGGACAGCTGTAAGGCCATCARCATGCAGTCTGCTCCACACACAGCAGTCCTTTCAGAGCTGGTAAATAAAGGCCATTGTCTTCTGAAACACTTGACCAAGTGTAAAATTTTTTGCTGSAAAGTAACCATTGTGCAAAGTAGAAGATTGAGATAATCAAGAGAAAAATGAATGTAAATGTGCCAGAGGCRTATGCAGGTCTATTCAGATTTCCCAAGAAGCTGTGCAAACCCTGCTGTAACTTCTTAAAGATTAAGTTCCTAGAATGAGCTCTTCCAATAAACCAGACTTGCTTCACTATGATAGAGCAGCTGTGAAGATAAGGGATTAAAAATGCTATTTTATGTCACGCCTTCAAGAAGTCCTTACTTTCCTTGGACATTATGCCAACATAAAGGAATGTTATCACTAATATGACAGCACTTTTGTCTCCAAAAGCAGCCTCAGAGTGTCTTCAGTAYTTTCTGCATTTGCTGTACATTCAGRTGAGTGCCAATGAGGAGGYTTTAAACCTGGAAAAGAAAGAGATTTAATATTTCTAAGACTTAATAACACRGACATCTATAAACACTTTTGTTACCTATATAGTCATTTTCCTTTTCTTCTTTAAATTCTATAAGCCATCTTCCCCGACAATAATTGGACTATTTCATGCTTTGGTCTTTCTCATCTTCTTGCATTTGTCAAAATGAGGATGTAGTAAGAATTTGCCTTTAAACGTATTTTTTTTCTAAACAAAGTTCCTAACACTGCAGTGACAGCACAGGAGCAATACCCATTCCATTTACTTGCAGAACACAAAACCAACCTTTGACCTTATTTYGCAGAGCTGAGGCCGAGCCCACAGCGCGTTTGTTTTTTGGTGATTGGCACGGCTCTAAAAGAGGACAAAGTGTGGGCAAGGGGCAGGGAGAGCAGGAGACATCGGGAAACACGCGATCCAACAACTCCAGCTTGTAACTTTCCAAAGTGTTTGAGGGGGACAGCCCACTTTACTATGCGAACATCACATGGGGGTCACAGAGGCGGCTGCG